GATTAAAATATATAATGTTTAATGCCAGTTATGCAAAACATGAAAAAATAGAAAATAGTAATGATCAGGATAACTCTAACAAACAGAAAGAGGTTAACAAGGATGATGATTATGATGATGATGATGATCATCATCCGCAACAGCAGTTCCATTTTTAAACCTGGTGGACATCTTGTCACCCTCCTCACTAGAAAAGCAAGGTTTGGGAACTGGTTTAGTTGCTGATGACCTAACCATGTAGAAAGTAGCACCTGTAGAGTGACCCAACATTAAAAAAAAAAAAAAAAAAAAAACATGGGGTACAATTTTTTTTTAATGGCCCATCCTCTTCCATTTTTTGACATTTAATCACTTCTACATTAGCTATGTTTTTTTAAACTCAGGTCACGGATTTTTTTTATGTCAATACGCAGATAGAGTAAAATGTTGCTTGATTGGTGCCTAATGGATAGCAAATGTAGTAGGAAAAATTGGACAGAAAATGGAAATATGAGATAGAGAGGTTTTGTAGTAAAACATGGCAGAGAAGCAACATAGTCATAGAAAGATTTGGGTAAGGCCTTTGTCTGACAGTGGATGAGTAATGGCTGCTGCTGTCCAATTTTCTTTTTAAATGTTGGTTGATTGATTAATTTGTTTTCTATGGCTTATCAACCCTTTGCAGGTTATTTAAAGCCAGAAAATATTTTTAGATTGTAAGAATTTTTGCGGGAGATAATAATGGTTTAGTGATTCAAGTCTTATTAATTAATCCATAGCAAAATGGAGAAGAGGTGGGTTCATACCTTTTCCCCAAGTGAATTTAATAAGTGAGTATAACAAACCCAACAGTAATTTTAACTCGTCTTACCAATTAACAATTCTGATCCATTATACCACTTGTATATCCAAGCTTACAGCACCTGGTATTCCTAAGCAGTCACCCATCCAGGTACTGATCAGGCTTGATGTTGTTTAACTTTGTGATTGTATCGGAACTTGTGTTTCAATGTGATGTGGCCATAATCAAAGCATTTTTATTGGATGGTGAATAAAAGAAAGAATAAATAATGCCAAATCATTCAAGCTGAGCTACAAAATGAAAAATTATATCATTATAAAGAAAAAAAAATGATGACATTTGAATCGATCATTGAAAAATGGTATTTGTCAAAATACAATAAAAATAACAAGTACAGTTTCATAAAAATTGTTATGTGATTGTCCAATTACTGTCATTTCCTCGATCCCCTCAAATGTACTAAAAGCTTTGACTGTAGCCCCAATGCATAAATTTAACACCCATATTTTATAAAGTTTGTCTTTGTTTGAAATTGCATGTCCTTTGAAAGTTTTTATTGAAGGCTGTCTTTCATAAGCTTCAATAGATAAATAGGTTTGTGCAATTCACACACACACAGTGTATTATGAGTGCTAGGAAAATGAAAAACCTGTTTTTTATGACTGAAAAAAAATGACTATAGAGAAGAACAGAGAATTTTAACTTAAAATATGGAAGAGTAGCCACTTTGCATTGAACTCATACTAGAGAAAAAGTTACACATACCATAATATTTCTCTAAACCTTCACTCTTCAAAACTTTGTAAATCAGCACCTATGTTGTGAGTCAGGCTCTCAACAAAATCTAAATGATCATTTATCAAGCAGTTTGGTTATCCTGATGTGTAGAGTAATTGGCCATGGTTAAATGTAATTGGCAGAAATGCCCAATGAACAAAATTGACAAAGCCTGCAATAAACAATAAAAGAGAAAGAAAAAAGAACAAGGAAAAAATAATACTGAGCAAACAATATGTGTAAGGCAAAGCAACAGTAATAAGGCAAATGGTTCACAAACTAAAAAAGATATTAATATACAAAAGGGGATACAGACAAACAATCACAATGTTCTGGCTTAAAGACAAGAAACAGAACAGAACTGAGTCTGATGAGACTGAGAATTGGCCTATCTTATTGGCTAGGAAGAAATCCCAGCATGCATCTGTGTATTTTTTCTATAAATTTGGAGAGGGGGAAGATTTAATTGTCATTCCTACTTAGATTGGAACCAACATAAAAATATAGAAATTGTAAAACAGAACGGAAAGAGGAAGAGAGAAGAATGATCCATATACCTTTAAGAAAATGTGCAATAACACCAATATTATAAAATGTTTCTTTGGACTCTTTCCACATAACCATTCATAAAAGTAATATCTCTGGAGTTTGGAAAGGATTTTTTTAAGTTAAAGATATGACATGTGGATGAAATGAAGGAAAAGAAAACATGATTGTGTGGAAATCTAGAAACAGAGGCCATGGACAAAGCAAAGTGATATATCAGTACAATCCTGGCAAGATATTTATAGAACTATACACAACACTTTTTTCTTGGATTTTTTAAAATCATTTCACCACAAGCAAGGCAATAAATCCACTAAGACACACTGGGTGTGAGGAAATATGAGAAAAAGAAAGCATTATTAAGGAGAAGGAACAATAAAAAAAAAAAAGATTGTTTTCAGAGAAAAAGGGGAAAAAATGATCATTGTCCATCATCTATGACAATGTAACTGGGCACTGGCCCTGTTTAAATGTTTAATTGTATGAAATTACAGGATGGTGATTTGGAGGGACTGCTAATTGGATGGTAATTATTAAAATTCTCAGGAGAGTAAGCTGAATGGTTAAGAAAATTAAAAATGTAACACATTAAAATTTATATTTTAAAATAAAATGAAATTAAGAACAGTTCGAAGGAGAATCAAATCCAGATTTAACTAGACAAGATTCAGTAAAATTGAGCAAAACCAAGAATCCCAATCCTATCAACTTCCCGCCAATAAGAAAAAGATGATTAATGTGTTGTCCAAATTACTTGGCTCTTGAGAAACTAGAATTCAGATGTTTGTTTACACTATGCTATCAGTAGAAAATGGGTGTGGTCACAGAAAAAAACAAAAAAAAAAAACATCTATCTTGGGTTAAATCCCAAAATTTTGGATTTGTTTATGTTGATTGCCCAAGAACCCAATTATTTTTACAGAAAGATATCTAGGAAGATTTTAAACATACAAAGGAAATATTATATAGTTAATAAGCAAGATCACCTAAAATTAAGATGTCCTTTTCTGTGACAATCATCTGCAATTTTTATAATTATCATTATTTTGGATTTCTGGCAAAGAATCCTCTGCCAGTAAGAAAAACCAGCTGGTCATTTTACAGGAATATGGAGAAATGAAATTGGGCATCGTGAATTGCCATTTTCTGGGACCTGGCTAGATAAAGCAAAGTCATTAATCAGTGTTATTGGAATCTATGTCCCTATATAAAGCCAGCACATATTTCGCTTAGTGGTCATTTTTCCAAGTGGGGAGCAGATGTCAGACACAAGAGACACACCTGCATTTTGATAGTCTGAGCTTACACAGACACGCATAACAGAAGAATTGAGGAAGAGTAGACTAGCATCTATGACTACAATTTCCAAATTATCATCCTTCAGTAGACACTAGTCAACTTTAGCAGTTGCAACTACAAATTCCTAAGTCACCACCTTGCAGTATAGAACTTGATTTTGCAGTAGATAATCGATACATATTATTCAACCAGTTCGACTTTGCTGTCAATCTCAATATCGTAAGATTTTGGGAAACATAAATCAACCCTATCAAGATGACACACTGGCCCCAACCGAGGAGGGAAAAGAAAGCTGGAGGACTCATAAGGCTGGTAGTATTCAACAAAGCTAGTAGAGCTAGCAACTGAGAGTAAAATAAGGAGAAGAGTCAGAGCTCGGAGCCGGGAGAGTGTAGTGTGTGAGTTGAGAAGGGATAGGTGTGCTGTTAGATATGTCAATGATAAAGTGTTATCAATGGCAGTGGGTTACAGCAATATGAACTGGCCACAAATGACAAAAAACAATTGAATTGTGAAAAAAAAAAAAAAAAAAAAAAAAAAAAAAATATCACCAAAAATGTCTTAGTTTATTTTTGGTGGTACTTAAAAAGATTTCTTACATGATTGGATCCAGATGTAAAAATAAATAAAATATGTAAATAATTTGCAACTTTGCTTATATTCATCTCTTGACAATATTTTCAATTTCTTCTTTGAACTGAATATAAACATTGTCCATTGTGTTTTGATAAATATTGTCTAAAGTTAGAAAATAAAGCATTTTCAATATTATTTGGATATATATCCTCAGCTTCATTTTTTTCAAACTAAACTTTAGCAAAAATCTTCAAAGAAAAAATGTAGAAATGTTTATAAAATGAATGTTATAATTCCTCATCTTTCAATCATTTTTTTTTTTTTTTGGTGTGAGTGTGGGGAGAAACAAAAACCTCCTTAGGAGTAGTTAGCAGATCATATATAGAATGAATAAAATCCATACAGGAATTTCTTTAGAACAAGTACAGCCATACAAATGTGATTGTTTTTTGTTACATTATTAGCAGTAAGAAGTTATTCCACATATAAAATGAGTGCTTACATTATAACAGACAGACAAAGAGACACACACACACAATGCTCAACACAAGTTGAAATTTTGATTTTGAGGAATGTTAGCCAACTTTATATTGACATGTTTGAAACATCAAGTGAAAGTGGGTATCCATCAATAAGTATTTGTATTCAGCAAGGAACGGTTGTAAGAAAACTGGAATACCAAATCTTGGTCCATTGAATTTTAAAAAAATATGTCATGAAAGAATTTGTAGCACCTCCCCCACACAATTAAGAACTGAACAGTGCAGCATTAAAATATCATCCCAAGTTAAATCCCTATGTAGGAATTGATAAAAATTAGTGAATTAAAAAAAAATGTTTCCCCATGACTTAAAATAAAGGTTTCATTTCATCCCCAAGAAAATCGAAATAAAAAAAAAATTATGCAAAGTGGAAAAGAATATCAAAACTTCAGGCACAAATTAAAAAAAAAAAAAAAAAAAAAAAAAAATTCACCCCATATAATAATTCTGATAAAGTCCTATTTTTTTTTATCTCTGGTTTAATTAATCTTCTTGTTTATTTTTAAGGCAGAAGGAAGCCTCAAGTCCTGAGGGTAGATTATTATAAAAATGGAAGCAAGCAGAGTGGCTATGGCACCAAAATATGCTGGTAGAGTGATATTTATTTCCATCAGAATGCCAGCTATGAAGGGAGAGATCATTCGAGCAATAGACATGAAACTCTGGCTTAGCCCCATCAATGTTCCTGATCCCTCATGGGGACTTCCCCGTTGCAGCAGGAGTTGAGTGCCAGTAGCTCGCATTACAGAAGAAGCAACACTGAGCAGTCCAAGATAAACAATAAATATGGTCAACGATTGGCAAAGACCCAAAAACAGGAGGATAAAAACCTGAAAAAGAAACAAAGAGAAGCTTTAAAATAACAACAAAGATTACTTGATAGCTGATGGAGTTGCAGATTTTCCATCCGCACTAATGGTCAGCATTTGAGTCTAGACCAGTTATTCACAAATGGGAAGTACCTAGCTCCCTAAGGGAAGAATTTCTACTCAAGAGGAGGAATTTTAACCAGAAGAAGAAATTGGCATTAAATCAAATAGAAGTTAATAAAGTCATTTTTTAAAAATTGTTTCAATAATTACCATTGTAAAAGTAAAAATTAGTAGATGATAATTTAAAATAGGGGAAGAAACCCTGAGATTGCAAGGAGAGAAATGTGACTTAAGAACCACAAAAGCCATGTTTTTTAAAGTTGACTTTTAGACAAAACTCTTCCCTTTAGAAGATAGGTTTAATACAATCTCGCTATCCTTAGATCTCTTCAGTTAGTCTTATGTTAGATTACACATTATTTTTTTTAATAGCATCAGGTAATTTTAGCTGAACCTGGTCATACTTAACAGATTCTAAAGTTTGAGCCTTATTTCATGTTTAAAGTTTGAGAAAAGTAATGCTTTACTTTAAAATATCTGAGCTTTGCCTCAAAAATATCTGAGCTTTGCTTTATGCTTAATAAAGTTGTATTAAAAAGATCTCACTTTATACTTAATATATGCTTAATTTGGGGACAAATTCAAGCCTTGTCATGCTTCATGCTAATAAAATTCAAAAACAAAATCAAAATATCTGTCTGAATTTCTGGGATGAGGAGTTATCATTATTTACACTATTTATATTCACACTATTGTCCTCATCTTTGTTGTTATCACATTATTTTGACCCATGTGCCCTCCAGCCTTCCTCAGGTGTATAAAATACAATGAGAGTTCATACATCTCAGTATAAAAGTAGAATTGTAACGGTAAAAATTTAACCTTTGGTGCTCAGTATTCCAAGCTCCCTGACAGTCAATTTATAAGGACATAAGGAAATTTATCCACATGCCCACTCAAATGGAATGTGACACAAGATAGAATTTAAAGTGAGTGCCCACATGTACATGGATTAGGGATAATAATTGTTGAAGCTTCCTTGGCATTTCCTTTGGAGATGTCTCAGGTACCAGGTAATGATCTAGATTGGAGTATAAGGAAATTTATAATGAGAATTTATTGATTAATACATTTTGAATCCCTTTTTTTTTGTTTTGAATATTGTGCCTCTATCTTCTTATAGTAAACTTAGCACAAGGTCAAATGGAAGTAGAAAGACAGTGTAGTGCCGACCTTTTAAATGAGAGGAAGTATAATTGCTTTGAACATATAAAATCTAGGCTTTTTATCTTGCTACTGATCTCTGGTGCCAGTGAGGAAAATCCCTCTCAGCCAGCAAGCAGGTTACTAGGATTTGTTCTTTCAAATTTTTTATCTTATCTACAGGGCATGAAGAATGTGAACTTGGTTGATTTACTGTCATGCAGATTTAGCTGTAGCAACTTTCTGGATTACTGGAAATCGTTTTAAAATAAATTAAAAATAAAAGTCCTTTTATATCTATATTTCTAGTTGATGTGCAACAAAGATGTGTACCATGACTTTTAGGAAACATTTATCTGTGAAAATTCTTTAAAATTGGGCAGAAATCCACCTATAAACATTTGAGAAAATCTGATGAAAGCTCTTACTGGTGTGCAGACAAATTTGTATGTACCAAGTTTAAATAACTCAGCAAGTAAATCGGTTAATACTTTCAGTAACAATGTTTATTTTGCACTGATTTGTGGTAGCTGACAATATAAAAAAGAGGTGTTCCCAAATACTAAATAGCATTGATATAAGGCATGTATTAGTCACAGCAGTGTGTAGAGGACAAAATGAAGACAAAGGATGAATTACAAAAAGGGGAATGTTATATAATTAATGTCATTTGGTGCTGAAAGAGTTAACTGTTTGTGTGTAATATGTACCTTAAGTGCATATATTGCTTTCAGTATTTCTATAGAATAATTTTCTCTGAAGAAAATATAGAAGTAAAGAAATCTGAAACATTTCCTATTCTGATACTGATTCTGTTGAAATGGAAAAAAATGTCCTCCCGCACAAATGACAATAATTAAGTTACAAAGCAATATTTTAACAAATTTAGGATATACTTATTACAACCAGTATTTAGCCACTAACAATGTTTTTTTTTTGTCAGAACATTGCAAAATATTAAGAGGTCAAGTAATATAGATAAGCAGAGATGATCAATGAGAGTAGAAGAAAAGGAATATTTTTTCACAAGATAGATTATCTTTAGAGAATTTGTTGAAAATTAAAAATGATGGTGTTTTTTTTCATCATGTTGGAATAAATTTGTTGCTTGATAAGACAATTTAAAAGAATGAATAATGTCCAGTTTTTTTATTTTACTGTAAAAATAAAAACTGGGTGTTATTCTTTTAAATGTGTTTTGTAATCTGTTCTGCAAATGCAAAAATATACTGTTGCATTTCCAAAAATATTGCAAGTTATTATCCCCTATAGTGACAATTTAGGGAGTCATGACTCATAGACCGCTCCTAATTATTTTGGGTTCTAATAAGTACCAAGTGATGTAACTTTTTTCCTGAGGAGACTACTGTGATAAAATTATCAGCAATAACCTTGTTAATTTTGTCTTTTTCTACAAGATTTCACATTGCCTCCATCTTTCAAATTTCAAAGGAATCAGCAGAGGGATTTTTTGTCAGAATCTTTAATATTCAATAATAGTAATGATTCCAGAAAAAATGGGATTATTTACAGATGGATTGGCACTTCTGTTCAAGACATTAGTTAAAGTATTGTTCCTTGGTACTTCTGCCCAGGATCAAAGTTTAGTCGGGATCAGTGTTCCTTTACTGAACCTTTAAGCTGTAAGTCTGTTCGTTCTTTCTTTCTCTTAAATTTATGAGGGAAGTCTCATCCCAGGGACTCCAACTCTACAGCAGCACCTCCCCTATTGCACTAAAGAGGAAAGGTTGGTGGATATTGATAACAGCATGACACTAGTTATGGTGATAAAGCAATTTTTGTCCTTGACCCATATATTTGCATATGGGCACCACATGTTAAAACTGACCTTGTGTCATACCCTGCCACCATGGGGAGGTGAGTAAATAGCAGATAAAAGTTTAGTAAGTATAAGTGCTCCTTTTACCAGTTGGGATCAAAATTTGTCTTCTTTTCCTCTTAAAGCTACTGAGGAAGCCTAGTCATAAAGATTCCAACTCAATGACAGAATTAAAGAGAAAGAACAGTTGAAGAATAACAATGCCAGTGTAACAGTGGTAGCAGGGATCAAGCAATTTTTGTGAGTGACCTATATGTACAGCACTCTATATTAAACTGACATTGTGTTATATCCTGCCACCTTGGGGAGGTGGGTGAATAGTAGTAGTATTTGTGCACTTAGTGAAAAGTGTCTCACACACACAAATCTGTATTACACACTGTATTTTCCATATGTAAATTAATCTTTCTAGCAACATATGGCACTTATTTTAAACTCATTTCCCCTTTGAAATTTTAATTGGAGCAATGGTTAACTGCTCAGATTGAGGAAATGGCAAGCTAAGTTCAAATTCCAGTCAAGTTTGTTACATTCACTTACCCTTGGGAAAGGTATGAATACATCATTTTGCCACCCAGATAGAAGTATGGGTAAATAGCAGGACAAACTGGGTCCTTTAGCCTTAGGTGGTAACTGGTCTAGGAGAAGAACAACTCTGAATTCAAAACTTCCAATTATGGATTAAAATAGCCTCACCAGCCTATAATTGTCCAAGCATGGTAAGTACAGCTACACCTCTGAAGATATTGTCAATTAAAGAGGAGTTCCTCCAAGGAGTGGGAAGGCCCTGGATCTTGATCTGTATAATGAGCTTTCATCTCTCATGTCTTTTTTTTTCTTTTTAATTTAGCATGACAGCATTTAATAAGTACAATTCATGTTGACCTCTTCTTGAAATTCTAACCTTATTACTATAAAGAAAATTAAGATTTAGGAAGTAAAACAGTAAAAAAGGAGCTGAAATTTCTTACCTGAAGCAGAGACATGTGTAGAAACAGTTTTGCTTCATCTTTATAAAATTTGGTCAGGTACCCAACCAAGGACGAACAGATTGTGGACACTGTGCCAGTGAAGGAGATGAGATAGCCATTGGTGACAGGGGAGACATCAAAACGAGTTTTAAGCATGAGACCAAAATTACTTCGAAAGAGGATGATGCTGAAGCCAAGAAGGAAACGAATGATAAACATATCCCAGAGTTTGGCCCAATGGATCTTTTGAAGGTACTGGAAAAAAGCAATAGGGTGGAATTGGATCTCATCAGAAGTAAGTTTCTTGGGACTGATGATGGAATCAAGCCTCATCAGTCCTTTAGGAGCTGACCGATGTGTGGTTGGTAGCAAAAGCCAAACTATCACTGAAATGAGATAAAAAATTTATTAACATGGAATGCTAAATGGAGGTTCAAGGCACATTGACTGTTGCATATTGGTCAGAATTATCATTTTTTTATGTATTAGTGCATTTAATCATATATTTTAGGTTTCTCATGCTGACCAGTTCTATTGCTCTTAGACACATGCATGGGTGTATGCTGAAAGTTCTCAGCCCAACCAACTTCCCAAAATCTGACCAAATGACCTAACAACAAATGTTTATTTTTTAAGTTACCTTGTTTGGGATAAGAATTTTTCAGCACCCCTCATAGATAAGAGGAAAAAACATGTTAAATGGAATTTTTGAGATGAGAAATTACCATTATTATATGGTTTGCTATTCAAACCAGCATGCTCATCTTGGTTGTTATACTAACAATGTTTCGGCCATTGTAGCTTCCCACTGTCTCTGTACTTAGTAACTTTTTTTGAATTTCAAACTGAACCCTTTATTCAATGCATGGTGTTGATTGTTCTCATTCCACTTTACATGCTTCAGGAATAATTTGTATCTGTTAGTACTCACCTTTATTATTCACCATCGTGTCACTTGTTCATTTCAATCACTGAACCAGAGTGTATGACTTTTCGACACTACCATGCCCAGGGATAGAACCCAATGTTTTAACCAATGCTTTAAGTGTTGGCTAAAATATATCAAGTTAAAATAACACAAAAGTGAATAAGATGATGAAATATCCTGTAATCATGGAAAGCAGAATGAGAACAATCTACACATGCAGGGTTTGGTTCAAAATTCCAAGATGGTTACTGAGTATGAAAAGAGATACCTGAAGATGATCAGAGTATACAAAAGTTGAAACGTTGTGAGTATAACAACCAAAATGTGTATGCTGGTCCAAATAACAAAGCATATAAGAAATGTATTTTTGGAAAAAGTTCTATAATCAATCCAGGTCTTCTTTAATATTCCTTAGATGCATAATTTAGTTGGCTGGAATTTTTCTCCCAAAGACAATTCTAGATTTGGGCATGAAAAATTCCTACAGTCAAGCATCATCATCAGTAAACAAGAGTCATGGTGTTAAATTCAACCAAATAAAAGATTAAGGCAATACTGATACATGAATCAGTCTGCAAAAATTCATTAATGTATACCAAATAGAAAACTAGCTTGATGAAAAAAGAATTTTGAGAGGCAATTTCAGGCACATAATTCATGTCAATTTTGTACTATTCGCTCTAACATTATAATTTATCATCCCAGAGTGTAAAAAAAAAAAGTAAAGCTTGTAATAATTTAATAGTAGTATTACTTATGCATATTTTCTAATATAAAACATATTAATTTTTAGGTACACAAGGCACAAGCAGTTTAACAAGCAATAGTTTCTCAGATAGCACTGAGTTTGCTTAAGCAACCATTTGCTAGTCTCAGCCTAGAAAAAGCAAAAAACAGTAAAATTCCTCATAGTCTTGATGTTCTGAAGAATTTATCTAAGCAGAGTGAGTGAAGCAAGCAAAACTTGAGTACTGCTCCTCGAGTATACTTTCATGCATAATTTTGACATCTGTTAAAATCTTATGCATGCCTAAACAGATGTAATTGATTTTGTTTAGTGGCATATCACTCTCTATGGGTTAATTAATGCTGAAATCTAAATATTTTGTACACAATTGTATGCCTTCACTTACAGATAAAATGTATTGTTGGTGATCTTACTATAAAAATGTATTTTGATACTCTCATAGTGTTTTTTGTTTTGCGGTTTACTATTTGCCCATAGTTGGGACCCTAACAGGTGCTACCACCATGGATAAGAGTGGACTTGGGAACAAAAGCAATTAATAACATGCTCCTCAAAACCCCTAATCTCCTGATAAGAGGCCTTGCTGTCATATGTAGTTCACATAAATAGAACTGAATTAGATGAAACTTTACAGGTACATGTATTGTAGTGCTTCACTACTCCATTCATATTTTATGACCTTGCCCTTCCTCTATAGCGTCACTGGCCTTTTTCCTATATGATGTAATGAGTTTATTTCAATTTAATGATCAACTGTATTTTTTCTTTTAGACGTTTGATGATTGAGTCACAATCTAAATACTCCTTTTCAATAATACATAACATTGTTAGTAAATCCTAGCAACTTGATATTTAATTATTAGCTATAAAGAAATTATGAGACTTTGCATCTGTTGCAGTAACCCTCTTATGATAAATATTGTAATTTTTTTTTTTTTGCTGCCCAAAAAGGACAAATGGAGTAGGAGAAATGGTCTATACTGTGACCAGGACATGGGCTCTGTATTAAGCTACAGCCTACTTTTTTTTTGTCTGCCAACTGGATGCTAGTTGGAAACTTTTGTGCAAGGGTGAGTGTCATATAATAATACTGAAGCTTTTGAACCATTTTGGCCATGTCTACCCAGACTAAAAATGGCCACGCAGCCTTCTACTTCTACATGGCCATGCGAATTACACTGGCCAGCTATTTGTCCTGATGACAACCATCTTCTACCATAACATTGATTAATTCTTGCGGCCAGCTTTTCATTCTGATGTCAAGCAACTTGTACAATAACATTGGTTAATTTCTACAGACAGTTTTCTGTCCCAATGTCAACCCAGTCCATCTCAATGTTAATCAATGCTTTCAATGAATTTCTGCCAATTTTATTTCAAAGGGGACTTAGGTAATATCTGATGATTTAACAACCAGCAATCACTTGACATCAGGCTAACTTCAACAGTTTTCCACTTTCCAACATTGTTTTATTCTTGTTACGTTCATGTATATGTATTTCATGGTATTATTTGTTATGTGAATTTTTGTGTGAACCTTGTTTTGTATGGGACCTTTGATAATTTTTTTTGAGTTACTAAATTGTATTTTATTGTAAATAAATTTTTTTTGCAATATTAATGTAAACTCCTCGTTATTGTTGTCATTCTTGTTGACCTGTCAAGATCTATGTTTTGTTTTTCTTTTAAATGTTTGTGGGCCTCCTTTGATTAATTTAATCAAGGTACAGAGGCCACCTCTCCTTCCCTCTGGCTCTTATAAAGGTAGAGGATAGCATGAGGAGTCAGGTACTTACTGAAGTGGTACAGAGAGACAATCATTTTACCTGCATCTTTAGCGACGGGTTTGCAACACATGTAACATGATCCTGTGAACGCCATAGAATATAGAAAAACAAGTGTTTTTCCATTTTGTAAACCACTAGCAAGGTTCCATTTTTGGATTATATATATGCTGTAAATCATACTGTCATTTTAGAGTCAATACAGTCACTTCCAATTTAAAAAAATTAAAAAAAAAAAAATTTTGTTTTTCAGAAAATTAAAAATTCAAGAAATGAAGGTTAGATTCAATCAAAGTAATTCAAATTGCATTGAAAAATACTTTCTTTTATTAAACATGCTTTGGTTTCATTTTTGTGTAAATGTCTTTTGTTCTCTTTGAAGCAATGCAGTAACTACTACTAGTACTATTACAGATGTGCAGGTAGTGTAAGTGCAACCGAGAAAGAGAAATCAGCAAGCTGAGTTTGGATTCCAAGCAAGTTTGTTACATTCAATTTCACACAAATACTCTTGAGAAAATGTATAAATCCATCTCTTCTCCCTGCAGCTATAGATTAAATAGCAGAGCAGACTGGGCTTTCTAGCCATGGTTGGCAATCAAGCTAAAAGGACAACTATGAATTCAAACTGGTATGTAGCCATTGAAAAGATTATGGAGATCACAATTAACTGTGGTATGAGTTTGTGGACTGTGATCTTGACAGGTGAAAAAACAAACAAACAAAAAAAAATACTATTACTACTGACAGATAAAAACTAAATTTTATATGATTTTTTAAAAAAAGCAGACAGTAGGTGCAATTATTAAACTTGCCTGTGTACCTTCAAATCCTTGCAGGATTTCCTCTACACAAAAAAGGGTTTTATACCATATTGTAAAATATATAAAAACATACATTTTGTTTATTGTATTACGAAAAAAATAGTTTGATTCTAAATTTTACATTAGAATTTCTCAAAAATGAATAATTAAGCAATAAAAGGTTTTATGTCTTCATGCTATTTCTATATTGTGAAACTTTATCAAATCGAAAAATTCCTTGATAAATGGACTAAAATATATTGTATTACTTGAAAATTAAATTAAAAGTTATCCATATCAAGAGATTTTCTAAACTAACTTTGTCTGAATTTCTGGGATGAGGAGTTACCATTATTTACACTATTTACATGTGGACTCTTGTTCCCAACCTTCTTGTTGTTATCACGTTTTAGCTGTTGTGCCTTCATCACGTATATGTCAATCCAGGTAACCTATAGAGAATTCCAAATTGAACCCTTTATTTAATCTATGAGGAGTAGACTGTTCTCATTCCACTGTCCATGTCTAGGGCATCAACAACAAAGATGAGGAAAATAGTCCACATGTAAATAGTGTAAATAATAATTGTGTGACACCGGAGATATGTAGTTCATTTTAAATAAAATGTCTTGTCAGAAGAATATGCCTTGACCATTAAAAAGTATCAATTCAACTGTATGTCAACTTAATTCATGAGAATTTATATGAAGTCATACACAGTGGAATCTTTCTTGGACAAAAGTCACTTAAACAATAATCATGAAAGAATAAGAATGAAACAGTATGGTAGTGTACCAGTAGTTGTGGGATTTCCTACCTGCATTGGTTATAAAGATTAGCCCAGCAAGGTTGGCAATGAGGAAGAAGCCTTCTGGGTGTTCTGCAATGTGACCTCCAATGGTTGGACCCAAGATAAAACCAATGTTAGAAGCTGCATTAAACCACCCAAGAACAGATGACTGTTCAGAGGCTGGCACCACATCAGCAATATAAGACTTGCAGATATTTAGGCTGTGTTTGAAAATTCCTGGTAAAAAAAAAAAAAAAAAAAATATATATATATATATATATATATACATACATACACACACATATAAACATACATATCCATGTACGGATATATATATATATATATATATATATATATATATATATATATATATATATATATATAGATATATAGTCAAACCTAGTGAGCCAGACAAACTCCCAGGTTTCACCTAAGCAGATAAGGAAAGCTGGCTTTCCCTGACGATCCACTTAGGTGAAACCTGGGTAGGTTTGTCTGGCTCACTAGGTTTCACTAGGTCTGCTCTATGGCTGTATTGAGCTCTTTTTAGTTAGTTGTTTACTTGTGTCGGGTTTTTTTTTCTTTGGGCTTTGAACCTGTATCTGTGTGATTTTTTCGACTGACTTTCATGTTCCTGGCTCTTTCTTTTTTTAAAACCTTTTTATCCTTCAAGATTGATTTGATTATTGGCAAATCAAAAATTCAAAGGTTTTTTTGAGACGAGTATAGTTACCTATATATATATATATATATATATATATATATATATACACATACATGTACATACATATACATACATATATATATATACATATACATCTATACATATGCATATATATATATATATATATATATATATATATATATATGGGGGAAAATTAACATAGAGTAATTAAAGTTTTCAGCATAATCTAATCATCCCACTTCATGATCTTAAAATCATTGGTGTTCGAAGAATGTTGGTGGAAAAGTTATATTTTGGGTAAAGATCAAATTAAATTTTTTCCTATGATGAATACAAGAAAGATTAAAAAAAAATCAAACATTGAAAAAAATATTCTTTAAACTGCCATCATGTTAATTGTTGATTTTTAAGTTTCCTCTGTAAGATGTTTTACTATGAAAATACATTAGCCAATGTATATGTTATTGAATGTTACTAGAATTCCTGTAATGGGGCCTTTATTTGGATATTGAGCCAGTTGTAGTGATTTCAATCTTTTATTGAGCAATCCACATAAATCATTTAACTCCTTTTTCAATGTTACGCTATTGTAAAATGATTGTCAAGGTAATTCATTTATACCATGTAGGGGATTCTATAAATGATGAAGGTACACTGATAGTGCAGGTCTTACCTGAAGGAATTCGAGCCAGAAAGAGAACCATGATTGATGAGGCAAAGCCAAGGAGACAATAACCAAAAGCTGAGCAGATGAGGCAAAGAATTAAAGATAACCGTCGACCAGCAACATCACTCCATTTGCCCTGAAAAAGAGAAACAAAAAAGATCTTTAAAGCAATAAACTTCCAAAGCATTTATTTATGGACAGTACAAGAAATTTCATATCAGAATCAAAAATTAAGACTGATAGTAGAAGTGGGGAGAAGCTTGCAATATATGCAAGTATAATATTTTGATAATTTTTTATTTGTATCAATAAGTTAATAGCTCTGTACAGTATCCCCAAATATGTGGTTTTCTTAATCAAATGAGATGTGCCTAAATTTAATTTCTATTTCACTTATTTTGGAATTAATGATAATCTATAACACAATTATAAGTCAATGGCATAAGTATCTTTTTAATAAATATCATTATAAAATATTCATTTTCTGATTTGATTCATGATTTATATTTTATATGACTTGCATTCTGCAAGGAAGGAAATGCCTTTTTATTTCGACATGTTTGTTAGTTTCTTCCAGCCCAAGCATTAGATCATTGCTTGATTAGAAAATTAAAAACAATGAAAATTGGGCAAAAACTTTTTCAATGATCAAATACAATTGTAAACCTACAACATGACCTTTGTAGGCACATTATTATTATCATAATAATAGATAAAATAATAATAATGAATATTATAAATGAAATAAAATATTAACATAAAAACTTTGTATAAAATAAATTAAATAAAAAATAAAAATAATAAAAATTCTCCCAGTATGTGACAGAAACTTTTCCTGTTGGAAAAATGAAAAATCCTGCCAAAAGACATTGAATTCATTCTCTTTGCCATGAACCCTGGAACAGTCCACATGTGAATCTTCTCTCTTTATGTCATGGCATGTAATAATATGAAGTAACTTCTTCCTTTTATTATATGCAACCATCAAACATTTGTAACCAAAAATACACACACCAGTAAACATAAAAATAAATAAATTGTATGATATTAATGTACAGTTTAACATGCTTTACTGTTATCTTTGTGTATGTTTTTTTTATTTCCTATGAACACGAGGCTATTTCTGCTGCCATGATGCGAGTGACTCCCACATTTTGGTAACCCTGATGTTAAAAAAAAAAAAAATTATACTACTACTAACCACATGATTTGGTGTCCAAAAACATACTATTCACCCATACCAGCCAAGGATTTCCCACCGTTGCATTTTGATTCTTGTTCACATCAGTGTGCACCAAGAACTAAGAAAGGCCTGCTGCATGTTCATAAGGAAATGAAAGAAGAAATGATGCAGCAAGAAATGAAAACTTGAAACCTGTTCCTAATATGTTTATGTGTTTTTGTTGTTTAGAGCTTTGCTTTCTTGGTCTGAATGGGTAAATAGGTGACACATGAGATAACTTCTGCCATATCGGGCATAAAGATCAGCTCTTCTCTTCGACGCTTCCTCCTACCAACTCTCTACTATAATCAACATCATGACACCTGGCTGGCAAGACTGATGGGCAGTACTGTAACTACCTGAGGGACAGACTGTACACTGCCAGAGTGGACCAGAGTTGTCTGCTTCAAGCCCACACATGACCTAGCAACTCTGAATCCTGTGTGGTTTGTTGTTACTTGACCTCAAAAGCTCTCCTTTATTTATTTTTGTTCCTCTTTGGTCAAGTAAGAGCTACATAGAAGATCCAGCCTCAAAGACCCTACCTGCCAGTCATAAGACATAAAACACTTGAGATTGAGATAAATCAACAAAATAACAAAAATAATACATAAACAAAATCAACCAACCAACCATGAATAGGTCAATTTCTAGATTTGAAAACATACAACAGAACTCTCACCCAGCTTTCCATCGACCGGTCAAGGATTACCTCACATTCTGTCTTGATTCTTGTTCACATCAGTGTGCACCAAAAACTGAGAAAAGCCTGTTGCATGTTCACAAGGAAATGAAAGATGAAAACAAACACCACAATGAGAAATGATCCTGTTTCAAATATTCACGTCTTCATTTGTTCAGTCTGGGTGCTTTGGCAGGTGACACTTGGGACAACTGCTATGTCAATCTCATAGATCAGCTCTTCCTTCTACCAACTTGTTGTCCACCTACACATCCCAATGTGTGACTGGGGTAATATAAATGTCCTGTATCAGTAGTATATGAAGGACAGCCTGTCTCCTGCCAAGGGAGACCAGAAATGGGGTTTCCCTCAATCCCAACTAGGACTTAATATAGACCAGCAACTTGTTCTCTTTGTTTCTCCTTTGTAAAGTGGTTGCCATCCAGAAAACCTCATATCTTGGCCATAGAACAAAACACTTGAGATGGAAATAAGATCACACTTGTTGTATGTTGGTGTCCCATTCATAGTGTTACAATTTTCAAAATAGAAAATTAAAGTGTTGGAAAAATAAAACCAAAACTTACAATGACAGGACTTGAAAACAACTGAAGGGCACCATATACGGATTCTACAAAAGAAAGAGATAAGTATTTAATTCAGTTCCCTACCAAGAGAAAAGATCTAGAACAGAACCTTACTCTTCTACAGGCAAGAGAGTGGATTGCTCATATATTCACTGCAAGCAGGGGTCCTTACAACTCTATTACCAAAGATTTGATCTCATAAAGGTAATACAATATGCTGCTTCTAGTGACATTATAAAATATGAATAATATGAATTGGATTGATTGTGAAACAGTAATGAAATACAAAGATAATGGAAAAAGAAAGAGAGAATAGGGAATAAAACTCAAAATTAACATTATCCAAGGACAATAGAACATTAATTGACAAGTTAGGGTTTGGGGGATGATACTGGCATGACACAAAATGTTTAATTAAAATTCCATAATATTTATTCTAAAAGCAACTAATTTGATAAAATAAAAAAAATTACTTCTCACCAATAATAGTGGGCTTTTAATAAATGGAGCATGTACACAGGTACACAGACAAAACAAAATTTAAGCTCTTCTTTTTAAACTGGTGAATGCGACTCAAATGAAAACTAAAAGTTGATGGACTTAAATTTAAATATTTGTATTATTTATTTCTAAATATGATTTTTAAGAGTGTATTTTGATATAAGTCAGGGTGTTGCAAAGTGTAATTTGATGTAAAAAAAAAAAAAAAAAAAAACATGGTGGATAAAGCAGACACAAAACTTGAAAAAAAGTTCAGTCATATATAATAATGAATGAGTGGATGATTTGATGAAGAGAGAAATAAACAGGCCTTTTTTATATCTTAGAACCCATTTGTCTGGTCGGAGACAAGATCACCACTACTTGTATTCTTTTTTTTTTTAATTTCCAAGGGAGGTAATAACAATATAGATCTTTAAACTTAACAAGAATAAATTTTATTTCAGTAGTTCTGCTGCAAATTGCAAGGGTTTATTCTTTTAGTATATTAATGATGTTAAAGCTCAGTCATTTTATGAAATAGCTGCTAGAGTTAAAGTGTTTTTTTTTTTGTTTTTTGTGTGTGTGTGTGTGTGTGTGTGTGTGTGTGTGACAGTAATAGTAGTTCAGTGGTTATCAGTGCAGAATGTGGACCTGGCATACTGAGTTCAAATTCTGATAGTTTCATTCACTTTGCACTAATACTCTTGGAAAAGGTACAACTCCCTCTTCCTACAGCTATGGGTTAAATAGAAGGGCACACTGGGTTTTCTTGTTTTGGGTGGCAGCCAATCTAAGAAAAGGAAAACTGAATTCCAATTCAGCCTAAAGAGGCTTGGATCCATCAGTTTATCTTGGCCTAGACATACCCACTGCAGTAAATGTGCTCCTATATGCGTTATGTGATCCTGATGCCAGTTGGCACATTGGTTAAGCAAAATGTTTGACAGCAGTTCTTATGTATGAAGTTTATTGATACTACATTTTGAATGAATGTTTGAAGCTTAAAACCTGTCTAAATAAATTGGAGTATGCATTCCTTTAATAAGTGGCCAAGGAAAATTCTGTGGAAATTTCTTGAAGAGTTCTCTAGTTACAACTGAAAATAGAGGTTGTGCTATCATTGTTTTTTTTTCTGTCCAAATTGTTTGAGAGACTTTAATTAAATCATGCTTATTGACTACTTTTCTTTTGATTCTTAAAGCATCCATTAGCCACATTATTGTTTCCTACAAAGTAAACAATAGAGAGCATGCGAATGAATTGTAAAAAGGTAAAAAAAAAATAAAATCATGTGAATAAATTTTATATTACTTTTGTTACAATTATCTGTTCAACCAAAAGCATACTACAAAGCCATAATCTTATGTTTCATAAAATCATTCTAGGTATATATATATATATATATATATATATATATATATATATATTTATATATATATATATATATAAATTTTAACAGATGAAAAAAAAAATGCAAATTCTACACGTGTTTACAATAATATTTTTGGGGTGGGGGGTTTTAGGAATCCTTATTAAAAATGAACATAACAAAATATAAAATCCATTTTCAAAATAGTAATTTGGAGTCAGTCAGTCAAGTCCCATACATGATACATGCTTGGGTGATCATGTCTCTTTCGATTCATGACTGACTAGACAGAAGCTTGACATTTTTTTCTATGGTAGACTGATTACCAACCAAGGCTATAGGACCCAGTCTATTCTACTATTCAACCCATCGCTGATGAGGGTGAGAAGGGATGGATTCATACCTTTCCCAAGGGCATTTGCCCATAAGTGAATGTAATGAACCCAACTGGAATTGGAACTCAGCTCTCCAATTTCTCATTCCAAGCCAATATCCATTACACCACAACGCACATTTGGAATAAGGATCCAAGAAGTTATTCTATTTCAAGTAACATGTGATCTCCTTATTGATGTGCAATAATTGTGAAATAACTTACCTATCATGCCTACCATTGTTGGAGACGCACCCATCTCTTTTACATGGGTTCCTATTAGGGGTAAGATCATACTCACACCTAACAAGTCCTGAAAAACACACAAAGCAATATATAAAATGAAAATTATAGACAGAAGAAGTCAACAGCCTTAAAATTGATGACAAAAGCAAAAAAGCTAAAAAACAAAAATTAACTAAAGCTAAAAAAATAATGCTATTTGAGTATTTCAATGATACTCTCTGTCTTGTGTCATGGATGGTTGAATGAAGTGAATTTTAATTTCACCATTGTAGTCATTATTGAATTAAGCAATGATGAGCATCAACAGAAAGGCTTTTTGTTATGGCAATCTTTTTTTAAACATTTCACCCCAAGCAAGGCAATAATGCCACTAAGATGCAAGAGGTTAATGGGTGTGAAAGAAAATAAGAAGACTTGAAAGAAACTGTAAACTCAATCCTAAACAGGAAAGAGAGGATAAGCCTCTACTCCTGTAAATAACAAGTATTTCATAAAAACTTCAGTTGTAGTTAAAGACTTTTAATTTAAAGGTTAGAATTATTCAACAAATTTTAGAATTTATGTATTTTTAAGGTGCAATTGTGTAGAGAAACTGTGTATAAGAAAGTGTGTTGTTTTGTGTTGTTCTATGACACATGATCAGTAGTCAATTTTCCCACAATACACGCCATCATGTACACTTTTTAAAATATCTTTTCTTACTGTTTCTGGTGGTACTATCAAAGTGAAAGGATTTGTTATGGGATTAGCATTTTTTTCACCCCATGCAAGGCAGTAAAGCCACAAAGGGTTGCTGAGAGTGAAAGAATAAGAAAAAATGTGAAACATTAAAGAGTGAGAACAATAGAAGAGTAATCAAGAAGGCAGGCAATAACAACTGACATTTCACTTAAATTTTCGAAGACCAAAGTTGACTGGAAAGTATGGAGCTGAAAGAGAGTTCCAATGAGCAAGAAGTGTGAGAAAAGAAAATGTTAGCACAGAACTTACGGTTCCATCTAGTCAATTCAACTGTAAATTGATGAGACCTTGTTGCTAATCTAGTACAGTGCTTATATAAAGTAGGTACCATGTGGAAAGTTCATCAGAAAAATTAACATATAAAACAAGAAGTATTTAATGAAAAGGCACAGGGAAGCTACATTATTATTGTGGTGGGAGAGTGACTGAAGCAGAGAAGCCAGGTCAGGACCAATTGTATTACATATTCTTTGAATTTTAATAAATTTCGAAACACATCTCTAGGACAAAAACTGGATTTTAAAGAGAATTTTAAATTTGTTCTTTACATTTTTCCAATAAAATGAGGAGTCAATGAGTGATGAAAAAAAGTAGTAAAAATGAATAAAAAGTTTATATACGGAAACTAATTTTTGTTTTAATTCGGATTAGCTTCAGAGAATATTATTTTTAAATAGGACTAAAATTTTAGTTTCAAAGAATGCGTTTATTTAAAAATATTATTTTTTTTCTTTCTGTTTTTGTTTTTTTAAAAAAAATTTTTTAGGAAGTCCGTGGCGGTATTAAACCTGTTTCTCGTGTATAAATTCCTCTTTGGAGGGATTTGTAACGCATTACTTATCTCTCAGTTGCGTCTCTGTCTTTGGGCAGAGTGCGCTCAGGGGCTTCTCTGTCAAAGGACAGAGGGGCAACTGAGAAAATTATATATTGAAGAGGTGCCCAGCCCTGGGGAACAGCTGCCCGAGGCCGCGCCCTCCCATTGTACCAGAGGGAGGGATCAGTGCTCGCATCGAGGCCAGCGCAACCGATGGTTTCGGGGGCTGTGGGCAATTTTTGTCCCTTGACCAAGTGTACGCGCTCGGGTCCCCACTTTAAAACGACCTTGTGTCACATCTCGTCCTCGTGGGGAGACGAGTAAACACCGTAAAAAACTGGTTTCGCTCCTCTCTTATCAAAACTTGATCGAGGATAATAAACGCACATACCGATTAAAAAGAAAACAATCTTAACACGTTTTAATGAAACAATAAATGCAGATCACATTTTTTTTTTTTACCAAACAGTCATTCCTTCTGTTTTTACTTTACACAGGGAAAGCTGTCTCTCTAATGAAAATTGTTTCAAGCACTTTAAGATAAAATTGGGAGTGCAATCTACACAACACAGAGAACACGCTGGTGATTATTTATCAGGTGTTCCGCAATTGTACAACCAGATGTAAGAAGCATACAAATTATCACTCAGCTGACTTCTGATAAATCCTGGAACAAATCCTTCTCTTCAAAAGTTCAGTTGTCTTGTCTGTTCAGTGTCGCATTGACATTTAAGTAGTAAGTAACTGAATTAGTTTTTTTGTTTGAATAGACAGATTCCTTATAAACAGATTTCAACATCGGCCGAGACGAGAAAGAACATCATTTTTGTGTGGACTAGAAGAAAAGTAACATTGCGAAATACTGGACACGTCGTTTAGAAAAAAAATTGTGCTGGAGTCTCACCAAATCAGGGCAATCTTCAAGACAGGATATTTTTCAGTGCCTATAAATGTTTGGGCCTACGATATCGTGCAATATTTGCATTTTTGCACTTGATTGCACGATGTCCAAAGGATAGCCAAGCAAAGTATCTACAGTGTAACCCGGATATAAGAGAGATTTTCTCTGGTCCCAAATTAGAGCCTGTGTTAATGTATATTGTTATGTCGTGTATCCACTAAGTTCTTATTCCACTTCCGTTCTCGTTGGTGTCCATTTATGAGCTACCTGCTCATATGCAAATTATACTAATTTGCATATCACTACATCTCCCTATAACGGAGGGGCCTTATGCCGCGAGTACTTCTTCTTGTGCCCTCCTGAACATCTTCCTTTATCCCTCTCCTTTCCCTTGGAGATCTAGATCTATCACGTCTTTCCCTATAATCGAATTGTTCCTCTTGCATACTCTGGTCTTCCTCTTCTAACTCATCCCTCTCTACTTCTTCCTGCGCAGTTTCATTCTGCATTAACTCTTCTGATACATCAATAATGGGCATCTCTGAAGGCATTTCTCATCAGATTCTTCTCCTTGGGATCTTATTTGGTCAGCATGAGCTAGAACACTGTTCCCATTTTCTTTATTTAATATTGCAGTATTATGTCCTTTCTGCATAATAAATTCAGCTGACTCTGGTTGCATATTCCTATTTCTTTTGTACCACATCTTTTGATTTGTGGCATATGACATAGTCAAAGGGGACCTTAATTGTCTGCCCATTAAGGCAGATGGACTTTCCGGCCTGCCTGCATGTGGAATTGTTCTGTAACTTAATAGTAATCTTGGTAGGAAAGCATCGATTTCCTCCTTCTGTTGCAAGCATGCTTTTTATGCCCTTCTTTACCGTCTGGACCATCCTTTCCGCTGCCCCATTACTTTGAGGATGGTAGGGAGGGGTCTTGTAAGGTCTGCATCCTATTTTTTTTTTAGCCATTCATGCAAATCAGCATCCACAAATTCTGGTGCGTTATCAGTCACCAATGTTCTCGGTGTCCCATTCCTCGAAAATATTACTCTTAATATTTGTTTTACGGTGGTACTTTTTTTATCAGGTACTCTCACCACTTCAGGCCAACCTGAATATGCGTCTACTAATATTAATAATAGTCCTATCCCATTGACATAGGCATGGTCCATGTGTACTGCTCCATGGTTCTTCTTCTCGGGCCCATACATGTATTTTCTTTTGCTTAAAATTCCTGAGTTCTGTGCATTTTTGCATCTTTTTACGTAGTCTTCTACGTCTCGAGTACCCCGCCACCAGGCTTCCAATTTTAATCTTCTTTGCGTAGCTGCCACTCCAATAATGTACGCCATCGTGTACACTTTTTTATAACCTGTCTCCTCTGTGTTTCTGGGGAACTACCAAGTCTCCATTACATATTATCCCGTTTTCTATAGTCATTCTATGTCTAATTTCTTTTGAATGGTCTTTCAGCCATTGAACAATTTCCCCAGCGATTCTGTTTTATCCTCAACATTATTCTATTTAACACTGGGTCATTTGTAGTTTCAGTAGCCATTTTATCTACAGATATTACATCGGTTTCTACAAGGTGCAAGAATGTGTCTTCAAATTCCTCGTCGTTTTTGTCCTCCTCTATAAAACCTCAATCTAGATAAGGCATCAACGCAGGTATCGTATTCCCTTTAACATATTCAATGTCAAAGTCGAACGCCATCAGTCTAATCGCCCAACGTAATATTCTGGACGTTGTAACTTTCGGTAGCTCTTTTCTTGGGTTGAAAATAAATTCCAGTGGTCTATGATCACTTTTCAACAAGAATTTTTTCCCCATCAAAAACTATCTTGCTCTATCGTTGTCCACACTATGGCTAGTGCCTCCCTTTCTATATTCGAATAATTGTGTTCAGTTGTTGTTAATCTCCTTGATAAATACATTATGGGATGCCCATCTTGTGACAAAATACCAGATATGAACTGCTCACTAGCATCAGTAGTTAGAGTTATGTCCTTCTTAGGGTCAAAAATTTGTACTATTGGCTTTTTTGCCAGAATCTGTTTTAAGTTTTCAAAGGCTTTCTGTTGGTGTTCTAACCAAATGAATTCCACATTTTTTTTTTTTAACTTAGCAAATGGCTCTGTCAACTCATTATATTTTGGTACATATTTTCTATAAAAATTTACCAAACCTCAGAAGGACTCCAATTCTTTTTTATTTTTGGTGTAGCAACTTTTAGAATTTTCTCTATTAGTACTTTATCTGGAGAGATCCTTCCTTTGATATTGAGTAACCCAAAAATGATATTTCATTACTGTTGGTTACACACTTTTTGTATTTATTGTCATACCAGCGTCTCTCAGCCGGTTCAGTATATTTTCAGTTTTTTTTCTTTAAATCATCTTCATTTAAATCTCCAACACATATATCGTCTTGATAACAGATGGTATTTTCAACATTTCCTATTACTTTTTCAATAGCTTTTTGAAAAATTGCACTTGCTGTTTTTATGCCATACAGCATTCTTTTCCACCTTAACAGGCCTATAGGTGTGTTTATAGTCGTCACATCTTTAAAATTTTCATTTATCGGTATTTGGTGGTAAGCTGATTTTAGGTCTATCTTCGAAAATACTTTCATTCCAGCAAGCTTATGTAAAGCTACTTCCACATTTGGAATAGGGTACGAGTCAGCACAAACTTTATGGTTCACCCTATTTTATAATCTCCACAAATTCTCAGGTCACCATCTTTTTTTTTCAATACCACGATGGGTGATGCCCATTTACTTCCTCCTGGAGGGGCAGGTTCTAATAAGTCTTCCTTTATTAGCTTTTCAAATTTAGCTATTACCAATGGTAATAAATGCACTGGTATTTTCTCACTTCGTAGTAGGAGGGGGAAACATCTTCTTTTAATTTCAGGCTAGCTTCATAGTTTTTTAATTTTCCTGTTTTTTCTATTTCTATCTCATTAATCAACTTCGTTGAATTTATTTTTAACACGTCATTCCCCAGTAGTCCATGCGTTTTTTCGGCAATTTGTAACTATAATGGGTACTATTTCATATTTTTTCTTTTAATTCTATTGAACCTTCAAAGTAACCCATAATTGCTATAATCGAGCCATCAAACTGACGTAGTTGTACGTTGGTTTTTTTTAAAAACGGTTTTCCCATTTTTTCCCACAAATTTCTGGGTACTATCGTGACGTCACTACCTGTGTCGATTTGCATTTCGACAATACAGTCGTTGATTTTCACTTTTATTTTTGTATCTCCGTTCTTAGATCCAGAATTTTGTATATTTTTCCCTTTTTACATTAAAAATCTGTCTATTTTCTTCCTCTACTCTTTCCACATTTTTCGTTTTACATACTTCTTTGAAGTGATTTTTTTTTTTTTTAAACACTTTGAACACGTCTTTCCAAAGGCTGGGCATTTTTCTTTTTTCATTTCATGAATTTTTCCACAGTACGCACAATTTTTTCTTTTTGTTTGTACCGTATATGTTTCAGCCATTGTTGTTTCTTCAGTAGGATTTATTTTTTATTTTGGTTGTAGGTATGTATTAATTCCTGCTGTTGTATAAATTCTATACACATATTCAAAGGCATGTTTGTAAGTTGTAACTGTTCCATTAACTTATATCTATGTGCCGAATTATGCATACCTTCAATTAATCTTAGTTGGATTAATTCTTCTTCCGTTGTCTGCTCGCCTGTTCCTAGTTTTTCGAATTCACAGTATTTACTCGCACTTCTTAACCGGTGTAAATATTTTACTATCGGTTCATCCACTTCCTGCATCATTGCCATAAACTTGGTCCTTTCTGCAATCATCAGTCTTTTCTTTGGCCTCATGTTTCCCTTTAATAACCTGACTTATTTCTTGAAAGTCATTTCTTCTAGTTCTCGAGGGTAAACCATTGTAGCAACCTTCATAATCGCTTCACAACCAGCGGTAGCCATGAACAAGTCGGTGATTTCATTTTCCCTCCCTCTGTTTTTGTTGTCTTTCAACTTTTACATCTAGCATTAGCAGCAAAGCAACGAATCCACGTGTCTACGTACTCTGGGTCTTCAAGGACCAAAGAGTATCCTATCGGCGACGCCATTGTTATGTCGTGTATCCACTAAGTTCTTATTCCACTTCCGTTCTCGTTGGTGTCCATTTATGAGCTACCTGCTCATATGCAAATTATACTAATTTGCATATCACTACATATATAAAATAGACCAAACCCGGATATAAGAGACTTCTTCTCCGGTCCCGACAACTCTCTTATATCCGGGTTACACTGTTATAAACTTTAATTCTTGTTCTAGAAAGTAAGAAAACAGATCATTAGAACTAAAAATTAAAAAAAAGAAATTTTTTTTGTAACTTTGTTTGATCAAATTGATATTCTTCTTACCTTCAGAGAGTTCCATTCATTATTATTATTAAACCTGAGAACGTGAGCTTTTATGGCAAATTAAAGAAAAAAATGAAAGTGTTTAGTTTCTGTTACACTTTAAGTCACTAGTAGAGACAGAAATAATTTAAAAAAAAAAGTGTTCTTGCTTGCTTGCCCAAGAAAGTTCATTAGCAATAGCAATGTGATCATTTTTTAATCAAATTTTTAAAAAATTTTTCCCTAGATCGGAAAATTTTTCTTAATTTCTTGTAGTAATCGCGTTTCAATTCTTATTCCAGGAAAAAAATTGAAAATGAATAAAAAAAAAAAATAATCAATATGAAAAAAAAATTACATTGATTCGAAATTTACTTTGGTACATCAATTATCAAGAAAACTTGGAAAGCGGTTATTGAAACACTTTTTTTTCCCAATCAGTCAATTATAATGTGTAAAAAAAACAAAAATAAAAACAAACAAAAAAGATGTTTTAAGATTTAGTAAAAATGTTTAAATGGGGAAAGTTGAAAATTAATGTACAATTGTGTTGTGTGTGGCGACAACTATACGTTATCAAAAAACTTTGAAAAGTTTACTTAATTCGGAAACCACTTACTTTTTTTTTAATACACAAACAAGAAATTTACCAGTAACACATTTATTTTAAACTTCAAAATATTGTTATTTGTTACCAATTATTTTATGTACACGTTGAAAACTTTCAACAATTAATTAGTGTTTCTTTAAGTTTTTAAAAAATAAAATTTCATCCAATTTTAATTTTAAAAAATCATACCGAAAGGTCCAAATTATTTCATTCTTCACATTATGATTTTATTTTAAACAATCAATATTCAATAATAATTTTGATAAAAATGGGTGTGCAAACGTAAACTTGTCCAAGGACTTTATTAGCGTTAACGCCGTTCGTTATGTAACAAAAAAAGCCAATCCATTGCAATTCCCTTTTTTTAAAATATAGTTTCTTTTTAAAATTAAATTTAATTAACACTTAAAAATATTTTTTTTCGAGAGATGAAATTTAAAATTACTGTTAGTGTCAAGTTTGTCATGTAGCAAAGTTGTAAAAAAAATCGAGGGTAGGAGTTTTTGTTTTAGTAAAAGTTCATGCCTTTCACTTTTGGCATTTTAAATGGTGGAATTGAAGGCTAAAAAACCATCGGTGGATACAGCCTGCGTATTCATTTTCTGAAATAACACATTTTTAATTAATATTTTTCTTTAAATGCAGCGGTACACGTGGTAAGAAAAACTAGTCAGTGTTTGGGTCCAGGTTAAAGAAAGACTTTTAAATTAACGAAGTAAGTTCGAAAACTTCGTGCAACAATTTTCTTATTTATTTACCATATTCTTAAGACTTTAAAAACATGGTAAAGTTTGATAACTTTTTAGATTACTTTATTTTCAAATACCGAATTGAAATGAAAAAAAAAATAAAAAAAAATAGAAACAATTTTAAGTTGTTATATAACTCAAACTGTTTCGGTTTGTAATTTTTTAAAAGGGTAAAAAAATTTTTTTCTATCTATTCTGATTTTATTCTGTGTAATGAAGAAAAAAGTGTATCGTCAGTTTTAGCGTTTCAAACGATTTTTTTCTTATTACATACCAAAACAACAAGTAAAGACGGATTTATCTCGACTGGCATTTCCTATGTTTACTTTCGTTTACTTTAAATTCTTGGTGTACAGGTTTAACCCTTTCTATTTCACTTATTTTTGTTTTTCAATTTTTAAAACATAAATGGTCACAAATATTGAATTATTATTTAATTATGAAAAACAAAAGCAATAATCGAAATAAATCATATTGCATGCATGATTTTTATGTTAAATGAGGGATGGTATTATGATTTTCATTCAAGAAGTTTATATCAGATGTAAGGGAGATAAATCATTTGAAACACTAAAAAAAATCAGAGACCCACAACTCCCACCAAATAATAAAAAAAAAAAACAACGTCAAAATTCCATAACAACAGCAGCTAAAGATAATGACAATTACTGTCATCTTCAAAAAACAACACTGGTAAAAAAAAATCAACAACTAGGTGTGTCCTTGGTCACATGGCCACACTACCGATATAAAAACACTGTGTAGACGAGCAAGAAAAATAACTTCTATCATATTTAAAATAATGATAATAACTTTATTTTTTCTTTTATTTGTAATATTAATGATGCTGTCAAAGATTTTCAATTAAGACAATGAGGGAGGTATGACAAAAAAAAAATTTGGAAACTAAAGAAAGATCTACTGTGAAGATGCAAGTTCAAACATCTGCAGGTGGTTACAGAGCATACGCACACAAACATTTCAGTATAGAGAAATAAAAGAGCAATGGTTTGATATATTTAATCATGAAATTAGTATTTGACTTACCATGAAGCCAACAATATAAACAGGAAAAACAGAAACTGCATGGTTGTTTTTTGTCGTCCGAGTAATAAAAGCGGCGGACATATTGAATAGACGACAGAGAGACAACTCTTTCTGGCTTTATTTTCAGTTCATCAATTTTTAAAGTTCTTATTGTATAAGAAAATTGCTGAATATTGTTTTTTTTAAATTATTTTTATCACCGATATATATATATATATATATATATATATATATATATATATATATATATATATATATATAACGATATATAATTTTTATATATCAAGAACAGTTTTGAATGAAAAATGTATAACAAAGTAGAAAAAACTTTTCCCACTTTGTTATGGATTTTCTATGCTTAGCTTAGATGAGACACGACACGAGGCTACAACTATGGCGCACCTAGTGAGGCTCGAACTCACTACTCATTTGTAATTAATCTTGCAAAACAAGCTTGCTAATCATTATGCCATATATATATAGAATAAAATAAAATAAAAATTCTAGCCAGTAATACTAGCAAATAATATACATGAAATTATACAATTTAAACACATACACACACATACATATATGTACTCTGCATATTTTATTTGTGCAGTATTTAGTGGAAAGTGCTCAATATCTGTGATAGAGCTAACATATTCAGTTGCATGGCTCGTAGTTTGTAACCTCGGGTTTCATGCTTTTGTGATCACTGGTTTATTTTTTCAAAAATGGATCTATTTATGCTTATTTGTGTTTGATTATCTGTGTGTGGTACAGGGGGGAATTTTCGTCTGCATTTGTTTGGGATGACATATATATTTATTAAATTTTATATAATCACTGTTTTGTAATAGCTAGGACATTCACTTTTATATTGCACATGTTTATCCTAGTTATCTTTTTATATGAGGAGGTAGTAAATGTATTATTATTGGTGTCTATCAATATATCAAAAAAATAAATTCTATTGTTATTGTTTTGGGAAAATAAAAGCAATAACCAAAATTACTGCGTCTTTCTTAATGTTATGGTAATTTACCTACACACGCATGGACTACCCCAGCTATGAATAGGAGCAGGTACTCTCTTTTGGAGAGGGAAGTTTTCAGCAGTCAGCTCTGACAGTCGAACCAAACATTCTTGCTGTAACACTCTTGTTTGTATATGTTTGTATTACTGCTGTTTCTGTTAATATATTTGTTTAGCTCATCTTTTTGTGTCTTTATTTCTGGCCCTAACAAAGCCACAATACTTAATCAGTTTAATAACAACACTAAGAAATTGATCCATGAATTTGAGAGGATTAAAATAAAAATAAATAGACATAATATGTGCAGATTACTCAACCAAACATGATTGAATGAAGATATGCTGCCTATATATATATATATATATATATATATATATATATATATTTAGTTGTATGGACAGTAGTTTGTAACGCCGGGTTTTACACTTTTGCTATCATTAGACAAAGGGGTTTATTTTTTCAAAAGTGGATGTATTTATGCTTATTTGTGTTTGATTATTTGTATGTGGTGGAGGGGGACAATTCTCTTCTGTGTTTGTTTGGGATGACACTCTCACATACAGGTGTATGCATTTTAGTTCTACTATCCATAACTCTTATACATATATAATTATATTCTCACTCCCTCATTCTCTCCCTCATGAGGAATTCAGAGAAAAATACAGTTCTTTAAAAAGTAATAGTCTGCTAGACTATTATTTAACAGTAGGTTGGTTTTGGATGATCAGTGTGTATGTGTATGTATGCACAGATATATGAGTATGCATGTATATGTATCACTTTAAATGTTATTGTTAGTGGATACTTGTATTTAAGTAGGTGCTCCACTTACATATCCAAATGTAAACAAAGAGAATTTATATGTGTATATATTTATTTCAGATACTATTATACATCCTACAAGCATACAACACACACACACACACACACACACACACACACACACACACACACACACACACATATATATATTGTGATATAACAATTGTACAAATGCAATCAAAAACAATCTTATTGAATTAAGTTAATTGAAACTAATTATTCTTATTGTCGTCTAACAAAAACAGAATTAACTTTTTGGTTAACACAATAATTGCATTGTACTAAGCTGACAATTAAGAAGGACCTGTTTACTTTAAAAATCAGCATGGAAATCCAGAATTTGGACACTAACCACTAGTTATGATAGGAATTACACAAATCATTTAGTCATCATATCAAGCTTAGTGTCATAATACAATTTTCATATCATCTAATTTCTCTCTATTTGACTTTCTATCAGACTATGTTAGTAAATATCTATGTGTACAGATACATATATATATATATATATATATATATATATATATATATATATATTTTGTTTCAATCATTTTACCTAAGCAAGGCAATAAAGTCACTAAGATGCAAGAGGTTACTGAGTATGAAAGAATGTGAGAAAAATATTATTGAGAGAGGGCAATAAAAGAACAGAAATTAAGGAAACAGAAGATGACAAAAACAAGTTTTATTAAATTCTACTGACATTGTTTCATTTTTTATTCCAGTTTTCCAATTTTTGAATAAGGTGCTGTATATCAGGATTGAAATTGTGTATAAACTGTTCAAAGTTCATGTTTGTTCTGTTTTTGTTCAAGTACTTTTGACCATTTCAGTCATTATCAAGAACCATGTGCTGTCAGTGTGGTACGCAAGATTCTGTTGGTTACATACTGTTATTTTATATTGAGCTGAAAGTTTGAAACAGCCAAAAGTAATGTCATGTGTAATGGTTAAAGAGAGTGAGACCATATAATAAAAAATGCATCAAATATTATGTGCTTGTTTTAGATGTTATTATTATTATTATTATGCATATTATATAGTTTACACACATTTCAAGATATCTTGTCCCGTGATGAAAGATATGTTAGTTAATGTGGATTGTTTACAGTAAAAATTAAACAGACCTTGTTGGCTGAATTTAATAAAGCTTGTCTGGATGAATGCTTACTGTCTAAATATATCTAAAATAAACTGATTAATAAATAAATGGGGCATCTACCTAAATATGTTTATCTACTAAAATCAATGTTTAAAATGATAAAATCTGTTGGATTAATAAATGAAAAATCCATTACTTCTTTAAAAATTGCTTTGTTTACATTTTGATATGAAACTAAGCAGATATGAACTTTCAAGAATCTGGGAAGAATTCATGCTCATAAAGCACTATTTGGCTTTGCTTGATCTGCAAGACTCTTCATGGCTGAGTTGGTCTAATGCACACTGGATCTAACAATGTTCTTTCCTGTAAAAGAGGACACAGGTTTGAATTCTTCCTGGAACGTGCATCTTTTTCTTTAATAAGATCTCAGGCCAGTAGATAAATAAATAAATATACTGTTTGATAAAATTAGATTGATAAATGTTTCCTATTTGTTCTTTATCTTATCATATATTATTTTTATCATAAGAGATTATAATAAAATATGCTGAAATTGTTACACAAAAGCTTTCATGTCTCAATACTTTGATTGTACTTCTTTGGGTGATAGTATGTAGCAGGTGATTAAATGATTTTTAAGAAAATTTAAAAACAAAGTGTTACCTCTTTTCCAAAAGTTAAAGGAGGGTAGGGGAAATAAGGTCAGAATTAAAAATAAACTTGTGAGTATGACTTAATTGGTTAATCAAGACATACCCACAAGTCTATTTTTAATTCTTTAGAATTCTTAGATTAAATTTTAATGACTTATTCACTAATGAATTATTTTAGAAATGTATCTATTTTTAGAAAATCTTGGTAAAAACATTTTTTTGCACATATTTAATTTAATGAAATTTCAAGAAATTCATTTTTGTACCAGTTAATATTTATATCTGTTAAAAACAGAACTCCTTAGAGAATTGAAATCATCAATTTTTTTTTTTTAATAGGACCCCTAGTTATGGAAAATCTGCTCTGAATTGCAAAATAAAAAAAATGCAATAAAACTAAAACATTATTTAATTAGAAAAGCTTTTAATTGCTTTTATGAATAAAATATATTGACACTATTGTCTTAAGAAAAGATTTTTTTCAATAATTAATGAATTTTTACAAGAATTGTTTCCGTTCTTTAAAAATTTTAATTGGAATAATTTATAAAGTTCTAAATCTTTTAAATTTTTATATTAATTTGTACTGTTTAGATGATATTGTTAAGTAAAAACTATATTTCCTAATCATAAATGGAAAAGCATACTACATTTCATCAATATTTTAAAAAGAATATCTGTCTATATTTCTGAGATGAGGTGTTGTAATTATTTACACTATTTATGTTGTTTGGGCTGTTGTCTGCATCTTTGTTGCCATATTCATGACGTTTCAGCTGTTGTATGCTCCAGCCTTCTTCAGGTGATTGTAATTTTGAACTGAACTCTTTATTTCATCCACCAGGGTAGATTTTTCTAGTTCCATGTGCCATGCCCCTCCCGGATGTCTCAGTTATCTCCCTTTAACTCAACTCTCCAAGTTTTTGTTGACCACTGCAGTAGCCAGGTATTGAACTCACAACTCTTTGAGTCAAGTCACTGAATCCAACCAACACTTTTATCCATAAACCTCAAATTTTTTTTGTGTGTGTATGAATGTGCTGATTTTTGCAAATATGAATGTCCATACATGACATTATAAGAAAATAAGAAAGTGATAACTATAGTAAATTTAAAGTAAAAGTACCTAAAATTCAATAAACATTAGATTATGGGAATATTTTCCTAAATTTTAAAGATTACTAGGTAGTTAAAAATTATATAAAAAAATGGTACTTACATTCTGTTCCTCAAGTAATTTACAGATATGTCCACTGTAGAAAAAATTAGATGAACTTCCATCTGTCAGTGAAGCTGGCAACCTGTCAACACCTTAAACACCTACTGCCATGTTAAGAAATGTATTTCTATGATATTTTAAACTTAAGGTAAGTAATATTTGTTTCAAATCAGATTAATTAAACTTTAAATCAGCTAATATTCCTCAAATAAAGTTTCAGAAAAGTACATTTTATTTTTGAATGATTTTTTCATAAAAAGAATT